ACGGATGACTTTATCCAAATCCTCATGAAAAGCATCAAGTTCCGAATCATCAGCTGCTGATGTTGGAGAATAGCAGTTGATGATAGTGATGGCTTTCCTGATATGCAGAGGAGACGGAGTTGAAGGATAGCCAGGGGTGATGGGATCTCATGCGAATCGACAAGATGGACAACAGATGGGTCTACGACCAAACCACCGCCTCCGAGGTTCCATGGTGGGACTTTCACACCACGAATGATGAATGTGCCACAGGCCTCGCGTCCGTCTTCCTTGACTTTCTTTCCTGCAAGGCGAAACGTGATAATATCACGTGATAGTTGATGTGCGCTGCCTGCGAGAAAGGTGTGATGATCGGCGTTCATGGAGACTGTTCTGGCGTTTTAGGTGAGGAACATGAGACAATCTCCATAGCGAGTCGTTGACGTGTTTCATCCGAAATCCTTGGCATCGTGGGAAACCTAACACTGGTCTTGATGACATTCGACGCCGGAGATGTGATTCAGTGTGCAAGGCTTCCTTTCCTATTCCATGCTGTACAAGCAATAAAATTCATCCCCAAACTTAGCCTTGCTAGGGCATTCCAAGCTTTCACCACAGGCAACCGCTACCTGTATGGATCAGGGAACCACCCAGCGACTTAATCAGCAAGACGGGGAACTTCTGACATGGCCCACTCTTAACTGGGCATCCGGGGAGCAGGAAACGGACTCCTTCGCAGCTTGGGAGACCCTGCTGAAAGGATAAACCTCCGCTGTACTTTGCAGTTCGACGCCCGGACTCACCCCCACGCAACGACGCGGTGCACCATCACGGGGAATACATCGTTTAAGGTACTCTATTACTGTTGAAAATTAAAACATCTAAACCTGCGCTGCATAGAAATGGTCTTCATTCTTATTTATTCTTTAGGACTTTTAAGTTCGGGTGTTTCCTGTGTTCCTGTGTTTGACACTTAAATCATTACTATCATCATCTTTTCTCTAGATGTGCTCTAACAATGGTCCCATGTCATTCAAAGAAGTTCGTGGAGAAGCTGGTCCAGTCGAATGTAATGGTTAAGCCTCTATCACCTTTTTAAGTTTGTTCGTTATCGAGCGGACTTTTTTTCCTATTTTTTTTTGATAAACGCTTTCATTTTTGCTTTAGTTTCCAGATCCTTGCAAACAATACG